CAGTTAACCCAAGCTGAAAACTCAAGTTAGAAAGAAAAAGTATAATTAATTCTCATATGCATGGTTGCTGGAAGAATTGCTAAGGGTGCAGTCTTTTGCATGTTTAGACAGGAAAACATCCTACAGCTCTCAGCATTTCCCATTCAGCACTGTAGGATCTTTTTTTTTTTTTTTACAGTTTCTTCTTTTGGCCTAAATAAGCATAGGGTTGCACCCTGTGAAGCTTATTATTAGGACTTTGAATGCTTGGGCAGAACAATCTTAAGTGGGCTGCAGAGAGGGTGGCCACTTATGCATAGCCATGAAGAAGAGCAAATGCTTTGCCAAAAAGGGCACCGGTTTGCATAAACTTGCTTTCTGCCTATTTATATTTATGGATGCATTTGAATAGAATAGTTTGAACAGAAATATAGTACATCTAACCACAATGGGGCAGTCCACCTCTGTTCCACTGCTGACTGTCAGTGGGCAGCTTCATGGCCTGGAACTTCCTTCTGACTGTTCTTTAGGTTTAGACCGGGCTTGGACTGGGCAGCCCTGCAGATAAGGGGTGCCTGTGAAACAGAGACTTGTCCTCTGACATACCTGCAAACAGGGGACTGCTTGCTTATGCAAATTGGTATGTTTGTATTTATTTAGTTCTGCTAATTTTTATGTACAGATGCAGTTTTAAAAATTATGATTTAAACAGGAATATCAGTCATTCCCCCAATATTAAGATAGTGGGGAAGCAGGACAACCCTTCAGTCTATGTGCAGGAGTGGGCAGCCCAGCAGATAAAGGATGCCTTCAAAACTGAGGAATGTCCTTTTTAAAGTGGGACTTATAGAAACATAGGAAAAAAGCGAGTCAGAAGGGGTTTCCTGGGCCATCTAGTCTGACCCCTGGCACCAGCCAGCCCTGCTCATGTAATCCCCAAGATGGCTGCTTCAGCTGGGGAGAGTAGAATTGGATCACCCACTACTTTCAGTGACCTGCTGGCTCATACCAACCAGGGGGTGGGCGTGGCTTTACCAGGCTTTTTAGCCTGGAAAATATTTATAATTCCACACACACACACACACATGCACACACGCCAACCCTGAAGCCAGTGTGTGGAAATGGCATTTCCCACCCTTGCAATAGCACTCTTCCTTCCTCCCTCCAGCCAACAGACCATGGGGGTTATCTGGTGCTGGAAAATGCTTCATTGGTTTGGTGGGCTGCCACATATCAACCATGCCAGGGTTTTGCAGCATCTACAAAATGGCAAGTCAGCAAGGCATTTGTCCTTATTTACTTGTGCAAATGTATCCCTGAAGGCACATTTGGCCATAGAAGATACATTCAGGAAAGCAGGAGGGGAAGGGGACCTAGGGAAATGTGCAAAGATCTACTCAAGTTTGTTTGAGTGGAAACATGCTGATGCCACAGTTTCCTGTTAGATAACTTTGTTTTCCTTCTTTGATTGAAATAAACATTTGATCTTGCCATTCAAGATTTATGCACCAGCTTGAGAAGCTTTGCTTATAATGTTTGTAATGAGGCCGAGATAAAAAGCATTCTGTATTTAGTTTCTGTCTCCCTTATCTACTGATGCTTTTGCTCTTTGACCATCTCTCCCCAGTTGTTTTGCTTAGCGTCATCATTACGACATCCCAGTCCTGACCCATTCCTATAAAGTCTTCTGTATTTCCTTTTTTAAAACCTATATTCAAATGACACTCAAAAGTGACTTGCTGCACATTTTCAGATGAGTAGAAATGGTATCCTACTTATTTGGGGGTGGGATTGCAGCACCAACCCCACTCTGTGTCCCCATATGTTGATTGTGTGCTGCGTGCAGGACCTGTATATCTACAAGCTATACATGAGAAGCTCTATATAGAGCTTTGGCTATTGGGCAGTTTAGAACTGTAGTACTGTAATATATTTTTAATAAATGCAATAACACAAACACAACCTGATGCCTTCCAGATGTGTTGAACTGCAATTCCCATCCATAGTTTCAGTGTAGCACATCTGGAGAGCACTAGGTTGAAGGCCGTGTTGACTGACAACACATCTGTCATGCATCAGCATGGGGAGCGCTGCCCTACATATGATGACAATGACGATCACATTTCTATACTGACCTGCAGCTCATTGGACTTTCTGAGCGGTATACAAATTCAGTTACAAAATATACAATAAAACAGTACAATAGAGACAGAGGGAGAGAGGGAGAGAACAGCAATACAAAGTAACGACAGTAGGCCCACAATCACCTTAGTAGAAAACCCCACGCCCAAACCAACTGGATCGGGAACCCTGCATTGTGCAGATCAGTGTGGCATGCACAGAAACTTCCAGAAGTGCCCCAAATGTAAGCATTTGAGCCTTGGCAGTCCTAACCCACCTTGTTGACTTCAAGTGAACAGAGGGGCACGCACGCACTGTGGGATTCATGCGCTGAGCAGGCCTGTCCTTGAATGGGCTTGCAAGTCTCCATGCAGCAGAGTTCCCTGTGCACACTGCAGCACACCTGGCCTTTCACAGGACAGGGCACACGGAAAGAAGCTCTACCGACGTCTGTGGGATTTCCTTTCCCATCATTTGTTTAGGATCAGGGTTTCAAGAGCCTTAACAAGTTGGCCCCAATTAATGCGGATGCTGCTTGGGAATATGTGTTCCAAAATCACCACAGGATACTTTTGAAAATCTCATCCAGTGGCTTTATTTAGAATGTAAAAGAAACTGACCTTAAGCAACTTTCGTCAGAAACCTGTTAATTATTAGGATACTTATTAGCGGAGGAATGACATTTAGGGGCACTGTTTTCTTTTTTATACCTGCTCCACAGTACAGCTAGAAAAGTAATTAGAGTTCCACACTTTGATTTTTTCCTTCTCTCCCACAGTTTATTTTCCTGTAATTAAATTTATACATCTGAGGTAACCAGAAAGCTTTAATAGTATTTGAACAAGTTAAATGTTTTAAGTTAACCAAGCAATTTCAGGAAAAACAAACTGAAAAATGCTTGCTGTTATTTTTAATGGGATTGAGAAGGAAATTTGTTCAGCTCACATTTTAATGTGACCCTTTCCTCATTTTGCAATTCAAATGACTAGACAAATCAAACTGACTTATCCCTTGAAATGTGCACGTCTCAGATTTTGCAATGGAGCTCTCCAGTCCAAAAAAGCATACAGAAATGAGTGCACTGTGGAAAAATGCATGCAAGAATGCCAATATTAGTGAAAATAACATTCATAAGGACATTATATTGGAAAATTGCAACATTAATGGATATAAGGCAGAATTATATATAAAATGCATGTGTTAGGAGAAATAAACAGAAATGTGTATTTTCATGCAAACTTTAAAAAACCCACAGTGTTCAGTACAAAGCAAACTTAAGATTGGAAAGCTGAGAACTGAGTGAAACCAAAATTGACAGATTTGTCTACCACTTTCAGTGGATTTGAGCTGTACTGTGATTGCGTCCCCTCCAAATGTTATATAGAAACAGAGACCTGCATATGCCACTGCGCAAAGAACCAAGGAATATGTCCTGCATTTCAAAGCAGAATTCGGGTTGTGTTTCATGAACAGCATCTCTTCATCTTCCATTGGCAATGTAGGAAAAACAAGTGATGAGAATTCTGCAGGAAAAACAATGATTAATCATTATCTAGGAGGAGGGATATTAGGACTTTTCCTTTAAGACAGCTTATGAAAACATTCATTTTTAGTTGAATATGCATATACCACTCAATTGAACCACTTAGGTAGTTGATTGCTAACCCTACATGTTTTATTTCCTTATCAAATATTATCGTATAATTATAGATTGCTGTTTTACATGTCTGCAATTTAAATATTATATGCTACCTTACTATTTGATTTATTTATTTCTATACTGTCCCACAGTAAAATAAACTCAGAAAAAAGTCTGCAATTTTGAAAGTGTAGCTCCAGATATCCAGACATGTTTAGGTATTCCTGGGTATGCAAACATCCACTGGCTGGGATGAAGGACTGAAGGATGACAAAGGAAGGATGCGTGTTCTTGACCCATATGCTGAAATCTTCATTGGAGGCATTCCCCAGGATTCCCCTAGTATTTGAATTGGAGTAGGTGACAGCTGGGGAGAGGGCCTTTGTAGGGGTGGCACCCAGATTATGAGATGTTGGGTCCAGAATCAGCATCTGGCACAGTGAAGCATTTGCCAGGGCCCACATGGTAACCACAAAGGCTGATGTATTCCCCTTCCCCTTCCCAGCGCCTGTCACCACTGGCCTCCCCTCCTCTTGCTTGTAGGTTTACTCAAATGGGCCTGAGCCAAGAGGCTCTGTGGAAGTTTAATCTGTAAAGCATATGCATCTAGTCCACATGGATCGGGTGTGAGCCCAAGTAAGCTTCCCACTCTGTAGCCAGCCTTTATACGTGTGTGCTGTTAATGTGTGTCTGGAAGCAGAGAATGGCCATTTTCAAATCTGCTGAGCATCCTAGCTGCTGCTGTGCCATTGCAACCTGGGGCGCTCATGTGGCTGGCATGTGTTTCCTGTTGTCGTGCAAAGGTGAAGCAAAGAGTCAAGCACATGAAGTCCAATTTTTGGTGATTTCCACACAGCCTGCACACCAATGGAAACAATCAGTTTAATTGTCAGGGCAGTTCTACCCCGTCCCAAAGTTTTACCAGAAGAAGTAAGCTGGAAAAGCTAATGACAAGTGTCATAACAAGGCTTAATTGGAAATATGCAAAGATATACAAAATATATGTAAAATAATTTTGTTATTTTGTATCCGTCCAATTCTGTCTATGAACTGGAAAGTGTTTTCTGTTTATTCAGTTGAAGTTGCCATATCGTTTCTCTATAATCTTTTGTTTTATAGGTTGTCATTTTGTATTTTGAGCCAAGTGTATTTCGTTGTGTTCTTCTAAGATGGGTGCGTCTTCTAGGATTTACTACAGTTTATGGAACTATTACACTCAAGCTTCACAGGTATTGTTTTCATTTCTGTATAATTCAGTGTGTACAGGTTTGTACACTTGCAGTGATGATCTGTAAATGCTTTTTTATGATAAAAAGATTTTTCTATCTTTTCCCCTTAGCCATGATAAATGCGTTAAGATCTAGTATCCCTCTTCTGAAAGAAATATTTTAATGATTGCAGTCCACCGGCTTTAAATAAGAATATATCAGTATTCCAGTGCATCTTTCCATGGCAGATTGTGCCTTGATGACAACTGATCGTTTTGTTCCATTGGAACACTAAGTAGCAAGTCATTCTGATTTGCATGCAAGGTTGAGTGTATACCAGATGCATAGCTAAAAGATAACAAAATATTTATACTTTTAGATAAAGACTTTTCTGGTGTTGTGTTAAAGTGATATTAACATCATACAAAAATATATGTATGAATGGTTGCTGCTTGATCTGTACTCCATAGATCTTGCTATCACATCTAATACTGTGGCCAAAGGTTCTACAAGGAGTGCAAGCAGCCAAAATAAAAGAGGGGAGTCCTGCCATGTCCCTTAGTGCATTAAATGTTTAAATGAAGCAAGTGTTTATGAAAACTGTTGCTGCTGGGTTCTAGTTCATCAAGGCTATTGAATTTTAAATTCTCTTTGTATATTACATGGATCAAGTCTTCATGCAGGTGCTCCCATTTGATACAATCAAAGGCTATTTCTCTACATCAAGGAAGATATTTGTTACTTGTTTGGAATCATTTTGCAAAATTTCAGCACAACCAATCAGACGTTTAGGATTAGTTACCGTTGATATATTTTTGAGAAAGTCTGCTTCTTTGTCTAAGTGAACTCTTATCATATATTTAAATATTTCTGTGATGACTCATGACCACATTTGAGATCTTGATCAGTAAAAAACAAGTCAGTATGAGCTTTAGAATGTTTGCTCCTTGCCCAGTTTTTAGCTTCACTCCATACCTCTTGTAAAGATTAATGTGAATTTCCTTGTTTATTATTTGAGATAAGGGTTGCAATTGACTAAAGCTGTCTAAAGCTGGGGACATGTGTTGTATTCATTTTAATGATGTGAAATATTTCAGGTTCTGATAGAAGAGCTTCAAGGAAATTAGTTTGCAATGAATAAATTTTGGTAATTCTATATTTGAGAAAAGTATGATGATTGAACATGAAGTAGGACATAGTTAATAGTTAAATCTCTTGTGTTACTAATATCACCTTTATATATGATATTGGTGGGATCCATCTATTTTCTGTTCTCCTTGCGTTATTTGATTAATAATTTAGCTGAAAGATAAGATGAATAGTAGAGTTGAAAGGGGCCAATAAAGCTCTCATCCCTGACCCCCTTCTCAATGCTGGATTCCTTCATCATTGCTAGAGTTTGTTGCTAAATTTGAGCTATTTTTTCCTGAAAAGTTAGCTTGTGTTAATTTTAATTAGCTTTTCAGAAATTAGATTCTATAGATTGCTTTTTCCTGATTTTGTTTATGTAGTCCCTGCTGCATTTTTTCTTTTTTAGATTTATTAAACAGTTCATAATATGTCTTAACAATAATTCCTATTACATATGCTTTTCCTGTATCAAGTGCTATCTAATATATTATTTAATTCAAAGAAGACATTAATATGGTGTTTAATAAATGAGACTGTTCCTTGTTATGTAACACAATTGTTTAACTAGCAGTTTCTGAGTTTATAAAAATTGTTTGTTAAAGGTAGTTAGACTGGGGCAAGATTTTCATAGATCATGAGGTGCATCAGTGTATGGATAACTTATTCAAGCAGTAGTGGAGATCTGTGTGTGAGTGTGTTTTAAGGGCCACATGGTTTTCTAGAGTTGCAGGAATTTGAAGTGCATTCTGGCATTAAAAAATCCCCAGGGATGTGGATGGCAGAACATTATTTTAATCTATAAATTTTAATACAAACTGCCTTGGGAGGGCTTCTGGAAATACCTTAAATAATAAACAAGTAAATAAATTGATTAAAGAGGCTAAAGTTAATAATATGCAAGCAGATATAGTTATGTAACTATAATACTTATATGTTATAATATAATACTTATAATAATACATATAATAAGTATTATGTGTATTTTATATGTTCCATTTAAAATAAATGAGAGAGATGGAAAATTAAAGTGTGGCATCTTGAATCTTCTTTTTGAGTGGAACTGTGGGATATTATAATACATACTGATCTGAGTGGATTTTTGCACAATTTGTGCAAAATTATCCAAAAGTTTGTGAATAATAATAATAGGAAAAAAATCACAGATCAATACACAAATAGAATGAAGCAGATTTATCAATAAACTGATGCAGAATGGACATGGCCCAGAAAGGGACTAATTCATCCACCATTACTTGGAATGCTGTGCTCAAGGAGCACTTCTTAAATACCATTTAATAACATTCATTAAGTGTCGTTTGAGCATAGCACCAAGTAGGGTTATAGTCCACTTGTTCCTTTATATTTTGAAATGACACCAATTAGATTTACTTTGGTAATATACATGTATGTCATGCTAGGATCTTTACTGTTAATCATTTGTAGTGCGATAAGCTGAGAGAGCTGCCTGGCTTAACTTAAGCTTCAAAGCTTGACTAAATGATTTGCTGAAGTGTTAACGGGATGTATCATTACACAGCCTGAAGTTGCTGATTGTGCTGCAGAAGAAGCATGGAAAGGCTTGTCAGCTTCTGCCCTTTCATGTAGTTGTCACTGTTGTTGTTGTTACATTGCTTCAAACTGACTCTTATGGTGACCGAACGAATGAATACACTCCCTCTCCTTCACAGCTCTGCTCAGCTCTTGTAAACTCAAGGCTGAGGCTTCCTTTGTGGAATCAATCCTTCTCATATTTGGTTTTCCTTCTCCTCTTCTTCTGCCTTCCACTTTCTCTAGCATGATTGTCTTCTCCAGTGAGTCCTGTCCTCTCGTGATGTGCCCACAATTTTGCCAGTTTTGCTTGTAGGGAAACTTCTGGCTTGCTCTGATCTAGGACCCACTTGTTTGTCATTCTGTTGGTCCAGGGTGTTCATATAACCATTCTTCCAGCACCGTGTTTCAAGCACATTAATTTTCTTTCTGTAAAGCTTTCTTCACTGTCCTGTTTTCAGACCTCTGCTTGCCAGAAGTTATGCCAAGGAGGGGCTGTAACACAATGGTGTGGATTTTGCATGCACAAAATCCCAGGTGTTGTGGCAACTCCAGGGTGGTCCACAAAAGACTCTAGGCTGGAGGCACCAATGTTCTGACTCCATATAAGGAAGCTTGCTGAATTCCTATTTTGCTGCTTGATGCAGAGGCCAGGAACCCTTTTCAAACGTAGGTTTCTGTGCCAGTAAATATTCCAGCATGGTGATTCAGGTGGAAACAGTGCTGAGCCCGTGTTCATAGTGGAGTCTCCCCATATACACTAATTGCCCAGCAGTATAAGCAAGCATGTTCTGGTCAGTGATGCAGTCCAGTGATTGCAACAGCTATGCATGCGTGGAAGTGCATGACTTTATTCTCCTGCCTTTCTGCAGCAAAGAAAGGCCCTGGCTCTGAACTCTGCCCAGATATGAGACTCTCAAGGAATCCTGCATTAATTCCTTTGAACTCTGGAGGAAAAGGTGGTTTAAGTGAACCAAATACTAATCCCAGTAACTTCTGCATTCCCATGAGTTTTATTTGACATCATTGGTTTGCACAGGCTACAACTGTAGTTAGAGTGATGTCCCAGTTATAACGCCAGTCATATCCCATGGGTTTCAGTAGTGTAACCCAAACGCATCTGGGGCCAGACATGTAGATGTACACCTGCCATCTAGAGGCTTTCATGCATCTTGATGAGCTTCTTATATGCATGGGGCTTTTCATTAACGTGCATGGAGCCTTCAGCCCATGCTTTCTCTCTGCTCTTTAAAACCTATAGCTTTCCATGACCTGTGTTACAAGCAACAATTAAAGCTGTTAGTCACCAGTGCAGGTTCCGGTGAACCAGTGTTTCTCTTGCTGCTGCATTCACTGTCCTTCCATCTTCACCCCATAATAAAAGGAAAGGAAATTTCTGGTTGAAATTTACCATTTAGTTTACCCTTCCTGAGCCATGGTGCCCATTCTGGCTGGGCAGATGGGATCTGTAGTCTAAGTCATTTGGAGGACACCAAGTTGAGGAAGACTGATTTAGTGTCTGCAGAAGCTTAAGGTGTGTTTATTCATGTAGTCACTGCTTCAGATTAAGTAAAACATTCTTTGTAGATTTAGAAGTGGTGAGAGAAAACTGTTTTGACGTGTAGCATTAGAAGTTAGAATAAGGATATGATCGGTCCCTTCTGCACACACCTTTGTATAAACATTTTCAGTAATGAGATAGCATGCAGAAAAGAGATTATCTTTCCACATTTACAAGATCCCAGATTGAAATTGAATATTTCTCTTTTGAAGCATTGATTTACGAGGTCAGAAGCCAGAAACTTAAGAGGGACAAGTTGAAGATTATTTGGAGAAAACTACATGAGATGTACAAGATCTGTGATCAGATCCCCTGATGCCATTTTGTTTCTTAAGAGCAGCTGAATTTGGGTTGAGACCACAAGCTGTGGGTGTGTGAACTGTATGCCTCTTATCTACCACAGTGGAGTTCATGCAGGAAAAGGAGGGCTACAAATGTAAATACAGTACCATTCCTGGGTAAATTCAAGGTGAGCCAAGATAGAATTCAGGGGCTTCCCATGCTTGCTCTCTTCTCTTTTGAGGTGGGCTTTCCCAATCACCTTATTATGTTCACCCAGTCTGAGAGAACTTCACCAGCAACTTGGTATTCAGAATTTGCTAGGACCTTGACAACCACATATACTTAATGGCTTGCTTGCTAGTTGCACAGTTGCATCCAACCCATCGACAACATTCCTCCAGGCCTTCCTGTCCTCCACCATCCCCCGGAGTCCACCTAAGCTCACACCAACTGCTTCAGTGACTCCATCTAGCCACCTCATGCTCTGCCGTCCTCTTCT